AAGCAGCTGGTTCTGAATTTACCTACTTGGAAAGTACTATATTGGGCATTGGGCATCGTCACATTAGACATCACTGAATCTAGTGTTTAATCAAGCATTTTATTTTATTTTTTAAAAAATTTATTTATTTTAGAGAGAGAGAGTGCATGAGAGAGAGACAGCATGAGTGAGGGAGGGGCAGAGGGAGAGGGGAAGCAGACTCCCCACTGAGCGGGGAACCTGACGCATGGCTCAGTCCTGTGACCCTGAGATCATGACCTGAGCCGAAATCAAGAGCTGGACACTCAACCGACTGAGCCACCCAGGTGCCCCTAATCAGGCATTTTAAGTCTTCTCTTTCTGAGCATTAAGCATTTCATTCTCTCCCCATTTTTCAAGTTGCATTTGAAACAACCCATCTGGACTAATGCAGGTCAGATTGCCTTTGGGGACCACACCAAAAATGGGAACCAGTAATTTCTCGATGGGCAAAATTAGGCTTACGCCATGGGACAATTAGTACTAATCCATGAAACTTGGAAGCAAATTTGACCTAAGTCTCCATTCAAGCCAAACTGGCTTTGAATTTATTTGAGGTGTTATGTGGGCACTTTCCTGTTTGCTCATGGGCACAAAAGGCTTTGGCTATAGACCACAGAGCTAAGAAAACAAAGCAAAACTTTTGTTCTTGGATGGCTAAGACAGAGATGGCAACGTGACATTCATACTCAATAGCTACCATTTATTGAACACTTGATATCTCTTCGGTGTTCTTCCAAGGGCTTTGATCACATTGTCTCGTTTAATTGTCACAACAATCTTGCGAAGTAGTTTTTATTCCTCCCATTTAGTAGATAAGAGAGCAGAGTCCCATAAGGATTAAACAATTTGTTCAAGGTCACAGAGTTAGCAAGGTGGGGGGCCTGGGAGTCAACTTTTGCCTGGGATGCATTTCATCTATGTGAATAAAAAGTATTACTACATTGTTGAAAGTACAAAGTTTTCAGGGCACCAGGGTGGCTCAGTTGGTTAAATGTCTAATTCTTGGTTTCGGCTCGGGTGGTGATCCCAGAGTCCTGAGATTGAGCCACATGTTGGGTTTGTGCTCAGTGGGGAGGAGTCTGCTTGAGATTCTCTCCCCCTCTTCCTCTGCCCTGTCCCCCATTCATGAATTCTCTCTTGCTCTCAAATAAATAAGTAAATCTTAAATAAGGTACAAAGTTTTCCCCAACTCATATTTTTGAGAGTCTGAACACATTGGTTACTTTTTTGACCCAAGAAGAGAAAAAATGATGAAAACCTTACTTTTTTTTGTGGGTCTTATTCTTTTCCCCTAGTTATTGTGATGTCATGAGGATCTTTCCTTCGAAATTTTGCTTTGAAAATTTATTGGATATTATATTACTTCAGAAATGGGTCTGAAGATCATTTCCAAAAAAGCACAAGTATAGCTTTGTGGAAGGGCTCTGCAAGGAGACAGACAAGTAGGGAGAGATCCAGGGGCAGATGAAAATGAACCAGGTTGCAGTTCATCAGTTAAAGTTAAAAACTTGCTTTGTGGGAGGGTTTTGACATCATGTGATATATAGGCAATTATCAGTATTTAACTGTAGGTAATAGTAGTTATCGACCAACATCTGCCTCTTGCCCTACTTGTTAACCATGTTAGCTGTAGTGTGGAAGGCCAGGTTATGTGTGGGGAGGGTGGGATTACATTGAATTATAGGTCCTAGAATTACATTTAAGAGGTGATAGTGAACTTTGTAAAACTTGCTCTTTCTGCCTTACTGGCTAAGACATTGGCAGAACACTCATATTCTCCTTTAGAACATCAAGGCCAGTTTGTTTCTGTGGCCATTGCTACTCTTTTAAAAACAAAGAGAAGTTTCTGGTAGTTGTAACAACTGAGTCATAATGCCTTCCACCCAGTTTAGATGAACTTCTTCGGTGTTACACGCTCAAGCAGCTCATTTAGTAGACTACTATTGATTGTTAGGAATTAGTGAAACAATATTGAGTTATCAAAGACCTCTGGGTACTAAAGGGAATGCCTTTCAAGTAAAGACAGGGTCATAGCAGTATCCCAGGATCACTGTGCTTGGTCAGTTTAGATCGTTTAAAAGGAGGTTATTTCAAGGGCACCCTTTTCCTTTTAAAAACAGCAGATATGTCTTTTATGAGTTTCAAATTATAAAGAAGGCAAGGACCTCTTTCTGATTTGCGGCTTCAGTGCATGTATGTATGTATGTATGTATCTATCTATCTATCTTTAATGCTACTTTTGGCAGACACAGCTGGTTTTAGGAGATGCAGAGGCTGACAAAGGCAGGATGATAAAAAGTCTGCTTAAATGCCCAGCGACAGGAAGGAGAGTCCTCACTCCTCAGGAGTCTCTGGTTCTTTCAGGACTAAATAGCCCTCTGGATTTATTTAGCCTAAATTTAAACATCAGTTGAATTCCTTCCACTGGCAGACTCTTGAACCTCCTGTTGAAAGTTTGTTTTTTAGTAAAGATTTGTTTCCCAACTATTTCTCTTCAACTTTTCTTGTAGGCATAATAGATATTGTATTGTAAACGTGAGAACTTTCTACTGCAACTGCTGGTGGGTTTACTCAGTGTCTTTAGTATTTGGATCATTTTGGAAAAATGAGAAGAAAACCCCCAACAGCTTACATCACCAGTCTTTCGGATATTTGAAGCTATCTATAGAAAGTTATGATGTTTCTTCCGATCTATTACTTGAGCAAAGACATGTCTGATATAAAAAAAAAAATTGAGTTATGGAGGAGTGAGAATGATCTTGGATCAACAGTAGGTTGAGATCAATGAGGGTGATCAGGCAGAGCCATCCACTGGGTCGATCAAACCTGGTTTACTTATCTAAAGATTACAGGAGGAAGTTGGCCCAAAGAGATTGGAGGCATGTTATTTAAACGATGGAAGTGTGAGCTCTGGGTTCTTCCTAAAGGATCTCACCAGTGGAATCGAGGCTAGTAAGTCTGAATGAGTGAAATCACATTGAAACTCTGGGAAATTCAATGCTCTTCCCAGCCAAAAGCAGGAGATGCCCTGGATATAGTTTGGTTGAGATCAGTGTCAGAGACCGCTACATCTGAGCTGGGGGTGATTTATTAATCTCAAGGTTTTTAATGTAAAATATGACCATGGTGTGTGATATAACACAGCACACTCAGGCACGGAAGTGGCCCCCATTTACTACCCTCCACCTCCTCATCCCAAAACAGCTTGTTCTAGACACTTGGGCACGACCTGGTTACAAACGCTCAGATTCACAGTGAGCAAACACAGTTGCTGCAGACCTGAATTGGAGTGCTGGCTTGTTCATGGGTCTATTATCCCAGGTGGCAATTTATTAAGTTAAGTAAAACTCTAACTCAATTATGTATCAACATGGAAAAATATTGACTTACCTTCTTTTCCTGTTGGAAACTTAAAGAGTATTAAATGTTAGTATTTTGAGGAAGTTCAAACAGCTTTCTTTACCGGTATCATAGGATGTGCCTGGAGAAGACCAGACTCCTTTTCAGACAAGTGCTTGGGTGACTAGCAAAAGTTTAAGCAGATGCTTTGGCGAGGTATTTGTTAAACTGGGCTTTTTTGCTCCAAAAGGGAGAAATTCCTGCCTCCACTCTTTCAAGAGTTTCCACGATTTCAGAAAAATTCAGTTAAGTTGTGTAATTGTTAATTTTGTTCTATAAGGAAATCAAGTCTTACCTTTCCTTAGACAAGTTGGTCTCCTTCATTATCACCTCCATCTGGAGTGACCTGTTGTTGAAATCATATCTATACTCTAAAATGAGTTCAAACTCTCTGTCCACTCAAAACTTTCCCTGATTCTCTGCATTTCCAAATATGGAGCTTCTTCCTCTCGTGAGCTCTTATTTCGGTTTCCTTGAGGACTCTGTGAATTCCAGAGGATAAGCCTGAAGGTTACTGGGGTGCAAGGTTCATCCCTTTATCCTTCTGACTGCAAGCACGATGTTTTATCTTTATGAAGTTTTCAACAAACTTTCCATATAGGAATTAGGATATCTTTAATTGGTAGAAATACTCTATAATTTTGGGAGAAACATCATAAAAGCACTCTCTCAAATCCTCCAAAGTTCCACATTTAAGCCGCAGATGTAAAAACTGGGCAAGGAGATGGGGTCCATTAAAAGCCTAATATCACAATTCCTTAACGTTTTAGATGTCCAGTTACATTTCTTACTCCCATTATCACCATTTCTCCCCAGCTATCTACCAAAATACACTGGCTTTGAATTCTCCAAAGGCATTTTATTATATTATACCAATTTTTTCTGAATGTACCTCCGTACTCGGCACGGAGTATTATAGGTGCTTAAAGCTGTTGTTGGAAGAAATAATAAACTAGTTATTTAAGGGATCTTCTTAGATAAAATGCTTTCATTTCTTGACATACCTCGTTGGCATTTATTTCCATTAAGATCAGAGCAATGTCTCAACTTTGAAAAGGGATGGTACAATGTCTCCATTTCTCATCCTGGTCAGTTTATAGGACGGTATAGGAGCTATGCCTGTAATGACCATAGAAATGCAAAGATAGACTGATAAAAATATTAAATACAAAGTTAGCGTGATAGGCAAGACCCAGTTAGGACATAGGTCACGTACGGGTCAAGGAAGCTCATACACGCTCCCTACAGTGCTGTGATAGGTGAAGGCGAGTAGGTGTTGGTGATGGCGACCGTAAGGAAGAGTTCCAGTGGCTTCCTCTCCTGCTCAGCCATCCCTGCCCATGGTCATCCCGGGGCTTGTGGGGTCTCTGCAGGACCATGGAAGTTCCAGGAAGCCCCTTTCCTGACCCCTGACATTGAACTCTCCTTTCTCTCCACAATACAACACAGAAGATGGAGGGCTCTTGCATCTCTTTGCCCTGTCAGTCAGGGGCCTTTAATCTGTTTTAGCATGAAAAATTCATTAAGAATGTACTATTATTTCATCAGTGAAATCCTCAAATTTTAAATTAAATCCATAGGTTTGGTTTAGCAACCGCCGTGCGAGATGGAGGAAGCAAGCTGGGGCCAATCAGCTGATGGCTTTCAACCACCTCATTCCGGGGGGGTTCCCTCCCACTGCCATGCCGACCCTGCCGACATACCAGCTGTCAGAGACGTCTTACCAGCCCACAGCTATTCCACAAGGTACGGAGGGAGTCGAGGGGATAAAATAGAACTCCCCATTGCTTTCTCTGCTGCTGGGAGATCTTCCTCGATGCTGACATTGCTGTTGTTTGGGTGTTAATGACCTGATATCAGGCTGTCCTGGAGGTTTACCTGTCCCATTTCAGAAAGCTACATTGTTTGGTGACATAGTTGGATTGCCCTAGATAAGCTATGTTATAACACTGTCTCAGTATTTTAATTTAATTTAATTTAATTTAATTTAATTTTTTAAAAGATTTTTTTTATTTATTTGACAGAGAGAGAGAGAGCGATCACAAGTAGGCAGAGAGGCAGGCAGAGAGTGAGGGGGAAGCAGGCTCCCTGCTGGGGCAGAGAGCCAGATGTGGGGTTCCATCCCAGGACTCTGAGATCATGACCTGAGCTGAAGGGAGAGGCTTAACCCACTGAGCCACCCAGGTGCCCCTTATTTTATTTTTTAAAATATTTTACTTATTTATTTGAGAGAGAGCAAGAATGAGTGGGGGAGGGGCAAAGGGAGAGGGCGAAGCAGGCCCCCCACAGCCCCAACATGGGACTCCATCCCAGGACCCCAGGATCACAACCTGAGCTGAAGGCAGACGCTTAAACCCACTGAGCCACACAGGAACCCCTGCTTCCATATTTTAAAACAAAACAAAACAATGAAACCAAACCAAACAACTTTCCTAAATAAATATGCCATTTGCTTTTTTTTGGTTAAAATTTTGCTTCTACCTTTGCACTCCTGTCAGCAGTTCACTGAAGTTCTGTGAGAGTTACTAACCACAGCAGCCTTAGAGCAAAGGTAAGCTTTGATCAGGTCGCTGTTGGACGGCGCAGAGAGGTGAATGGGATCAGTGAGAAGACTGAATTCTCTGGGATTATGAAAGATAGCATTCCAGGCATTTCACATGAATATTTAGGTGCTTTGAAAGCGCGTTTCGTATGAAACGCGAGACTTGCGATTCTGACACTGGTTTGTTCTTAGGCTGATTCATAATATTTGCTACCAAAAATAGGTTCGTTCTTATTGTTCATGTGATTTCTGCATTCGTGTTCTGGATGAGTCTGCCCTGAAAGTATATAAAGAAGTTACGTCCTTGCACTTTGGTGCAGTGACGGGGCTCTATTTGGAATGAGTGGTTCTCTGTGCATGGTAAGAAACGCAGTTTCAAGTTCATCTTTGGTCTGAGCGACCGATACTCCTGGCGGCTCCGGGATGCGAACTTTGGCTCGGCACTTTTCCTGCCAGCCTGCGAGGAGTGTTAGAGCTGACAGTCTTCTTCATTACAGCCGTGTCGGATCCCAGCAGCACCGTTCACAGACCTCAGCCGCTTCCTCCTAGCACCGTACACCAAAGTACTATTCCTTCGAACCCAGACAGCAGCTCTGCCTACTGCCTCCCCAGCACCCGGCATGGATTTTCCAGCTATACAGACAGCTTTGTGCCTCCGTCTGGGCCCTCCAACCCCATGAACCCCGCCATTGGCAATGGCCTTTCACCTCAGGTCAGTCCTGTGTTTCCAGACAGACGATTTGCTGTATCCCAGAACCAAACAGTCAATTCCCCTAGGCGGTCATATAATGAATTGCCAAATTTAAACCATAATGTATTCTTTATACAAGCCACATGATTTCAGTTTTCTGGTTTCCTTTCTCTCCACCCTTCCTACGGGCTGTATCAAAAGTTGTAGCTTGGGCTTACAATCCAAGTGATTTTTAATGTAATCAGGGAGAGTCTGTGTTTATATCTCGTTGTCAAGGCACTGGTCCAGTCCACCCCCTAGTTCTGAGCTTTGGGTTAGAAGCTTAGACACATTTTTTGTTTGTTTGTTTGTTTTTTTAAAAAGGTAACTGATCAGCTGATCTGGTTGTGAACAAAAGCACCTAGTAGGAAAACACCAACGCTTTATTAAAACAATTGGAGAGGAAGCAAGCAAGTTGTGTGGAGGGAGACCAGCTGATGATCCAGAACTCTGGGATAAATGAGTTATAAATGCACAAATTAGGAGAATTACTGCTACTTTGGGAATATATAGATACTTGAATGTTGTAATTGTTTTTCTAATTTGCATTGGACTATCAGCCTTTCTTGAGAGATCATATTAATAAATTGCCTTGATAATTGCATGTCGGAGGGTTGGATAAATTTCCTCCATGTGGCATCTGTCTGAGGTTGACATTATTAGCAGTTGTTTAAATACAGATCGCTTGATTTTATTAGAGAGCTCTTGGCCCAGGTGGCGAGGATAGTTGCCCACTAAATTTGGAGAAATGTCACAACGGGGTTGCAATCTATAATTGCGATCGAGAATCTCTTCAGGGCTGAGAGTGAGAGTTTCAACAGCTTTATCTTTTCTTAACCCCCCTTTTCCTCTTGGTGGTTAGCAAAACAGAGAGAAGCTCAGAATGACAGAAATGAAAAGTGAAAAGACAATTATACTCAATTACACACTAATCACTGACTATCACCGCCGCCTAAGCACCAAGAGGGCATTCTAATAGGCAGAAAATGAGATTTTAATGGCACAAAGGGTGGCCAAAATAACGACTCCTCTATCTTTGCCTTCTTCGTTTTCTTCAACTTGTGGTTTGCGTCTTGGGAGTGCAGGTCCTGGGCTCTGCACCACGGTGATAACTCTGAGCAGCTGAGAAGTTCAAAGCCGTGGGAGTTGAATGAATAGCAAAGGCAATGAAATAAACATTTCTGCCTCGAGGCAAAAGTTCATAAATCCTTTTTTGTAACAGTCAATGTAATTAAGTTTCATAGATTCCTATAGCACATCCTGGGATAAGAAATAAGAGGTAGCTTTAAACCTTGGCTGAAAAATAACAACATGAAAAACAATAAACGTGCCTTCCTACAGGACTTTAATAAATTTAATTTCCAAGTGCTGGCATGTGTGAATGGGATTTTGCATGAATATCATGGACTTCTGTTAGTAGATTCCTCTTTAAAATGCCAGATTTATAGCATTTATATAGACTTATAGAAGCCTCCTCCACAGTTGAGAAGGCACATCAGAAGCAGGGATCTCTCTGCGGTTCTTAACATCAATTGTTTGGGGCCGTAGTGGAACTTTTTTGAACACGACTGGGTTGTGAAAGTTTTCATAAAAAGTAAACTAACCCTAACCGCTTCTGCAAGGTGAGACCCAGGACACCCTTGGTTTTCTTTCGTGTTAATCAGAAAAGAAATAATGACACGGATCTGTATTCTAGAAGTGGAAGTCTTAGCTTCTTGTAAGTCTATGAGCTTGTAGGTTATAATAACCATATTCTATTTCATTCTATTCTATTCTATTAGTATTATGTAACTGGAGTCATTGGCACTTAATCTTGGAACTGTTCTTTGATTTTATGATCCCAGAGTTGGCAGTAGGGTGGGAATCATTCCAATATCAAGCAATGGAAAATTCCACAGGCAACCCTTCCTGTATTTCTTTATTATGCTCTTAAATATTAATTCCCTACTTATTACTCTGTACATATCCTGGATATTTTGCATTTCGATCCTATATTTCCTCCTGAAACCACCAGTAGGAATCCATGTTGTCTTTGTCCTTGCCGCATGCTCAGCGAGTTAGATAAGGGACAGACAGTATGATGAACTTCCTCCTTGTTTCTTCCGAGGATTGCCTCTATTGAAGCAAGCGGGCGGGGGGGGGGGGGGGGGGGGACCAATCCTACTTTTGGTTATCTGGTTTTATTTGAAATATCCTAAAGATAATTCAAAGATAGCCCACTCTGAACAGCCTGGTTTACCTCTTAACTAAAGAAGAGAGAAAAGAAAGGTCCTTCGGTCTTCCTGCTGATAAGATAGAAGGGCTTAGGAATAGATTGGATTGTAGGATATTCAAAATGGGACTAGTCTTACCATTTCTCCTCTTCTTTTCCTCCTCCGCTTCCTCTGCTTCTCTCTGGACATCTAATCTGCAGACAAGTCAACTAGAAGCTCAGAGAGCTTGAGGCCTGCTGAAGACCACCAGGGGCTAGAGAGAGAATTGGGACTGGAACCTGGGACCCTTGGCTCAGAGTCTAGGATCGCCCCCATGAGAGTACGTGGTTGGGCAGAGAGGGAAGAGGTTTCATGAAAAATAGAGGCAGGGGGCTTTCATCACATCTTAAAACCATTTGCTAGAGATGAGTTTTTAAAAGTTTTTGGTTCATGTTAAATGACATTCTTTTTGCTAATATGCTCTTTACATGCTTTTTGCTTTACACACTTTTCCTATTAACTTCCCTGATAATAAAGGTCCTGCATGGTTATTGTAGAAAATGGAAAAAAAAATTTTTAAAGTGTCTTCAGAGTAGAAAAAAGAAATTTCCCTGGGCAACCTCTGTTAATATTTTTACATACTGCGTTCCAGCTCTTTTGGGTCTTACGCCTTTTTAAAAAATATAATGGAAATAAGAGTGTATATAGCTTTCCATGTTGCTTTCTATCTTAACATTTCAGCATTGGCCTTTCCCCACCAGCTCATTTACACGGAATTGGATTTAAAGGCTTTTGAATTGTTTCAATCAATTCATTGTAGGTCTTTTCAGTGGAGGCTGCTTTACCTGTTCAAAATAATGTGTGCATCGTGTTTGACTTTCTTCCTAGTGGTGCTGGCCATTCAGACTTGGATCCCATGAGACTTGTTTCTCTCTGTGTGTGAGTCCTAGTGTTGGTTTTCTCCTGGAGTCTCGGACATATCTCCTCCCTCAAGCCAGGATTCCTCTAGAGCTTGGAATCAGAGCCATCAGCCTGAGGGCATTTCTTAAATGCCCTGCTCAGTGCTTTTCTCAGGGAGGGTCTCAACTTCATGAGGGACAGGTGTGACACAGTGACACAGGAGGTCACACCCGTCCAGCTGGTCAGATTTGAGGAGCAACAGACTGACATGTATTTTGACAAAAGATCAGAATATTCACAAAATGTTTTAGAAACGTGGGCATTCTTCTTCAAGCTCCTCTTGTTCCTAGGGAATCAGTAGCTATATCTGAAGAATATGGCCATTTTTCTTGTGGAAAAACTGAGACCACTGCCGCACAGTGATCTAAATGGCAGGGTGAGCTGCTGGCCGACTTCAGAGCCAAAAATCTCTCTCTTCCAGTTGTTACTAATTCTCATATAAACACAAACGATACATTTCATTTGCTGAGGAAGTGTAATGGCTTAGCGAGTCTTCAGAGGTCTAGCACTGATATTTGACCTGATTTCCCTGCAGGCGTCATCCAAAGGCTTCGCCAAATGGAGGGGTTGACTTCACATTTTCCCAGAGACTGGATCTGTCGGGGAATCTGAGACAAGAGTCCCAGGGATGGGTGACAGAGGGGATAGGCTACGACCTCAGCCTTTTCTGCTGTCTCTGAATTGCATTTCATCTGAACCACATACCCCTTGTAAGAGATGGGTCTCTTCCTACTGAATGGCAAACACCTTCTGAGAAGACCATACAAGTCACTCTAGTGAGGGCTTTCTCCCGCAGTAGCAGCCTTCTTTGGAAAGGTTGTGTTGTCTTGGTGTGGGGACCGTACAGAAAGAACACAGAGAAATAGAGACCATGTATTTCCCCTCCAGACTCAGATGGCACGTTCCCAGCACCTTGCTGCACATGGAGGAGAGAGGAAGGAATGCTGACTTGGAATACAGAGCGCCAGGGAAATCCTACCATATGCTTAAGACATGAGACTAATTAACATTTGGCCCATGTTCTTCCAATTAACTCTCCTTTGCAGGAAACACTACCCTTACTGCCCCCCCCCCACCGCCATGTCTAGAACACACAGAAACAAACCCCCAAAACAAGGCCAATTAATTTAACAAACTTCTATCATTTCATGCCCCAGCCCCATCCTATGGCTATAATTGCCACAGTTTTTTGTGATGGTTTCTAATGATTTCTTGAGTCATATACGGTATCATTGGGGTTGCATCGTTTCTAGAAAGCTTTTTTTTTTTTTTTTTTTTTTTTTACTATTATGTTGTATACAAAAATGGGCCAACTTGGCTGCATTCAGGGTTCATCAACCATTGCAAATGATTCTTCAAATGTTTTGGGTTTGGTAAAACCTAAAACACATTTTGCCAAGCACTTTTCCTCCTTAATTTTTCAAACTGTGTATTTTAGGGAAAATTTGATCCATATGGTTTTGATTCATTTACTCTTATATCATTGACATTTTTTTTTTCCTACAGAGCCATTTGATATCCAAGAAGCTTTCTGAGCCTTTCCTACGTTCATTTTAAGCATTTTCCTCCTTAAAGAGAGGAAGTCCTCATTGCAACCTCAGAGGCCGTAAATTTTGAGTACTTTCTCAATTCGGCAATGCTTAAAAATACATTTGGTATAAATCTGGATTATTATGAACACATTTTATGTTTAGAGCAGATGGGCAGATTTTCGTTTCTGGTTTATGAGTGAAACCAATGACAAAATAAGAAAATGGGCTTAAATTACCAAAAAAAAAGTTTTGTTTTGAGGAACGTCTAACTGTTATTAATAAATCCCTATGGTAAGAG